ATATATATATATATATATATACATCCAAGTTGGAACTGTTTGTTGGACAAAACAAGCATTGTGACTTACATTGATGCTGCTTAAGGGACATTTTCAATGCAGTGCTTTTACGTGTGAGTATTTTACGTCCCTGCCTCCAAATGAGCACTTAAACCTGTAGGCTACAAATGTGAAACTGGTGTGTGCGGTTGTTTCATTTATAAGTTCACTAGGGTTCATAGTTACCTCAAACTTCTTCATTACCACTTTACTCCACTTTTGCTTGCGCTTAATGTGTTTTCTTTTGTTAATGTAGTTTTCCGTCTTTTCATGTCAAAAGTAGAACTTTAACAAATCCTGCGCCCTCGCCACGGAGGGGAGTGCAGAGAGAGAGAAGGAGGGAGGAGTGGAGAAAATGAGAGGAGGGGAGAGCACGAGAGAGAGAGGGAGGGGAGTGGAGAGCAGGCGGGAGGTGGGGAAGCCTGGAGGAAAAACATTAGCCCCTCGTTTCTCCTCGCAGTTGTGAGATTTTTCGTGTTTTCTTTCCAGGACGCTTTTTCAGCTCCGCAGCAGGACGCACCGCACCAAGGACGCACGGTAAGGAGACACGCTGCCACTCGCACTTTGGGTTGACCTTGGGGGAGTCAAGGAGAAGCAAGGGAAGGTGGTCGACATGCCGAGATGGATTTCTTTTTTTTGGAGGGAGGGGGGGGTGGAGAAAGTAAGAGATGGAGCAGGAAGAGAGAAAGGCAGACAGGCGAACAGGAAGCTGTAGGGAATGAAGGGCGAGCGTTGTCTGTTTCCGAGTCCCGAACTTTAAAAGTAACGGAAAGAATTAAAGACTGAGTTGAAGGAGAAGAGAGTTTGCGTGTCTGGGTTGGAGAAGGGGATAAAAGCTCTGCTTCACTTACTTTCTTTTCTCTCGAAACAGCTCATCGTGGGTGTATTTCCACAGCAACACGGGTTACTTCTGCGTTCATTTAACTGAGCGCAAACTAATCCAAAACTTCTCACAGTCCACGCATTTTACTTAAACTCTCTTTTTTTTTACTGTCAAAGTGTGTTTTGTTGTTTTTGTGCAGGATTGTTGTTTTTGCTCAGAAAGGAAGGTTGCAGTCTGTAGTGTGTTGTAAGTGAAGATGACTGCACCGTTCTGTGTGGGAGTATACTGATGATGTGAAAACTATGTACAGATGATACTCTGCGTTTAACTGACTATCAGACATTTACTCTAAAACACACAAGAGTGGAACAAGTACTCAGATGTTTTACTTCAATAAAAGCAGCAACAACTCTGTGTACAAATACTCTGTTACAAGTAAAAGTCCTGCATTCATAATCGCAATTAAGTCAAAGTACAAAAGTGTTGACATCAAAATATACTTAAAGTAACAAAAGTACGCATTCTGCATAACGGATCATTTCAAAATCATATATGTTGTATTATTGAATTTTAATTATTGTTGTCTTATGGCAATAAAGGTACTATATTTTCCTCTGAAATACAGCAGAGTAGAAATATAAAGTAAGAAATGTAAAACACTCAAGCAAAGTACAAGTGCCTCAAAATTGTAGTATAAAAAAGTATAGTATTTAAGTAAATATACTTCGTCAAAAAGGTCAGGGGCCCCGAAACGTCTGAAATAAGAACCATTTTATAAAACTTTTGTTTCATGTGTCTTTATACAATCACCATTATGTTTGTGTGCTGCTATGTCACGTTAGCACTGTTTACATCCAAGTGTCACCTGATACAAAACATCTGCTTCTCTTCTTCTACCTATATCTTAACTGTTCATCCCTGATGTTATATTTCTATGCTCGCAACCTGAGTGATATCTTCATGCTGTAATTGATGCAGCGTCACTTCCAGAGAAAAGGAAAACTACAGTGTGTGTTATCTGTCAGCCTAAGTGGTGAGCCCCATATTCACACCTTTATACCAGTACAGGGATAAAGCTCCAGCCATCGTCGAGCAACGTGATCATCATAAGACTACAGGAACACTTTGTATATTTTGACTAATTAAAAATTCACCTGTGCCTTTTGGAGCAGGCCACTTGTTTGCTGCGTTCTTCAGCGTTTGGACTTCAGCGACTTGAGGAAAAGTTTGGTTGTTACACAAGGCGACTGTGACTCAGTGGTAGAACAGGGTCGTCCTTCAATCAGAGGATCGGTGGTTCGATCCCCACTAGTCGATATGTAGCCTACTTGGGCAAGACACTAAACCCCAAATTGGTTCCGAATGTTATAGTCCTGATGGGCAGGTGGCACCTTGCATGGTAGCCCCTGTCATCAGTGTATGAATGCGGTGAATGGGTGAATGATGACATGTAGTGTTAAAGCGCTTTGAGTGGTCGGAAGACTAGAAAAGCGCTGTACAGACCATTGACCATCAGTATGTCCAGCATCCAGCAGCTAAAGTGAACTGCAGTCAATCAGCAGCGGCTGCACCTGAAGCTCCGCCCTGTACTGAGGCTGAGCGCTGCTATGAGCTAAATGCTAACGTCTGTGTGCTGACATGCTTACAATGATAGAGTCGTTACGATTCATCCTGAAGGGAACATGAATATCTGTACTAAATTTCATGGCAGTCCGTCCAAAAGTTAGCTTGACATTTCACGCTAAAACCACAAATGTGAAACTCAAAGGATTTATCCTCTGGGGAGCATGAATGTCTGCACGAAGTTTCATGTTATTCCATCCAGCAGTTGTTGAGATGTTTCAGTCTGAACCAAAGATGTGAACAACTGACAAAACAAATGAAGAAAAGCAACAAAAGAAGAGAAGAAGTGTGTGTGTGTGTGCGTGTGTGTGTGTGTGTGTGTGTGTGCGCGCGTGTGTGTGTGTGTGTGTGTGTGTGTGTGTGTGTGTGTGT